CCCCCCCCCCCCCCCCCCCCCCTCCCCCTTTTATCGGTCCTTAACTGCTTTCGCCCCTCGTTCCTACGATGGATCTCTTCGCGCTATATACATCCCCTCAAGCAAAACTTAAATACTATGGATTCGAGTCCTCCACGTTCTTGGTTGCCAGGGGTACTAGACAAGGTTGTCCTCTTTCCCCCATACTTTTTATCTTAGCCTTGGAACCATTGGCAGAAGCCATTCGTATGCATCCTGATGTTAAGGGGATTGATGTGGCTGGCTCCCAACATAAGTTGTCTCCGTTCACAGACGATATATTGTTGTCAATCACGAATCCGGGAGTTACTTTGCCAAATTTACTTGCGGTTCTGGATTCCTTTGCAATTCTTTCAGGTATTCATGTCAATCCTGCCAAATCAAAAGCTATGTCAATTACTCTCCCACCATCACTTTTGGCTACTTTGAAACATTCGTTCCCTTTTCAATGGCTCTCGGCCCTACCATATCTAGGAATTAAGCTCACCCCGACATATGAATGACTATACCGAGCTAATTTCCCCACTGTCTTCCACGAGCTGACCGAGATGTTGTCCTCCTGGTCTCATTGCCCACTTTCATGGTTCGGCAGAATCAATGCGATCTGTATGACCTATCTCCCTAAATTATTGTATTTATTTTGCGATTTACCAGTTCCTGTTCTTTCGCATATATTGCGTATCCATCAGCAAAAACTTTTGTCCTTCATTTGGAGTTCTTCTCGACCCAGAATTAGTAAATATATCTTATTTGCGCGAAAGAGTGAGGGTGGGTTATCTGTCCCAAATCTCCAGTCTTATTATCTGGCAGCTAATATTGCCCCCTAGCTCATATTCATGCATCTCACCATTTCCCCTTGAGGGCTACTGTAGATTTGTTAGACTCCCATCCGATACCACTCTCTTCCTTACCGTGGCTTCCCTTTTCTCATCGTCCATCAACCCTTAGCCCGACGCTGACGCTTTCGCTTCGTCTTTGGGATTCTATTAAATATTCCGCTGACCTTATTTCTGCCCATCTACCGTTGTTACGTCTGTTACATAACCCGTTATTCCCTCCAGGCTGGGACAATCCTAGGCAGTTTGCCTGGTGGCAAACACATAGTTTTTATGATGTACATTCGCTGCTATTTCCCACTCGAATACTTACCTTTGAAACTCTCTTCCTATAATATCCCTTTGCGGGAACACTTTGGTTACCTTCAACTCTGTCACTTTATTAATACATTAATACGGACGCACTCGGGACCTTACCGTCTGTCCCCCTTTGAAAGCCAGTGCAGTCATAGACCCCATGCTCTGGGTCTGATTTCTTTGGTTTACTCTTCCATTATTTCTTATAGAACTCCTCCGGTTCGTTCCTATCATCAGCGTTGGCTGTCAGAACTTGAGGGGACTTTGGATCAACAGGATTGGCGGACCATGATCCAAGCATTATCTAAATGTTCTAGGAATGTCATCATTCTCGAAAATGCCTACAAAATTCTTTATCGATGGTATTATACGCCTGCTCGTCTAGTTAATTTTATCCCTACATATTCTCCGGCTTGTTTTTGTGGGTGCCAACAATTGGTTACCCTGATGAAGTCACGACGCACGTGACGCAACGCGTCGGAACGCCATTCCCAGCTCGTAGTACATCACTTCCGGTCACGTGGGGATGCATGTCCGGACGTAGCGGCCATATTGGTTTCCCTCCCTGTATGTGAATACACCCATGGTATGAGGTGGAAAGCGCTGTATACAAAGGAATACATGTGAGTGGAATCAGTATGTATAACATTGAATGTTCTTATTAAACGGTATTATACTATGGGAAGCTCTGTTTGTGTCCTATATGACCCTTGAGAGGAGGTGGAGTGGAAGTCCTGTGGTCCCTCGCTGAGCTGCCTGGAGTAAAGGATTGCCTGTGAGGAAAGTCTTTGCCTTGTGGCCCTGTGTGGGTCTGGGCGGGGAGGTGAGCAGGCATTGCTGCCATTGGAGGATTCCTTTTTTGAGCACTAGAAGTGGAGATCACTGAGTGTTTCACATTATATGCATGGACTTTTTTTGAGTGTAATTTAGACACCGTGTATATAGACCCATCACCCAACTATATTTAAATTAATTTTACTCTGTTATTTTGTATATCACATAATTTATGAATCACGTATTCATTTGATGAAAAAATCACAGTTTATCTCAATTTATAGGATTGTCACTATGTATTGTGGATAGGTACACTTTTTTTATTTTTGGAATTATGATTATTGATTTCATATCACTGATTTATCCAAGGATTATTTATTAATATAACATTTGGCATTTTATCACGGATTAATTAATGAGGTAATTAGGGTATTTATGTATGAGATATATATGTATCGTAGTTTTCACCAATTAGACTCATTTTATTATACTTTTATCACTTTAAGGGATTGATTATAGGTTTAGATGGTATTTGAGACATGTTCGTGGGTATTTTTTAGCTATTTATTAGCGCTTCACTATTTTGGTATATGGATTTATGATCTACTGGTTGAGGCAGAGTGACAGCAGCTGTAGAAGAGGGACGCATCCATATTAAGCGCAGGAGGATTTTTTCCTATTTTTTAACAATTGGGTACTATGGTCCACATCTGGTGGACTTGCCCTAAGGTTTGCAGATTGTGGATTAGGGTTTATGCCCTTCTCCGCACTATGTTTCACACAGACATTAAGCGTAACCCATACGAAGCGCTCCTATTTAAACCATTTTAACCTATTTAACCATGTGATGCCAGCTGAACGGCAGCTGGCATCACATGTATTTATGGCTATTAAATTGACAATTGCGAAGTCTTGGAAGACTCCTCTCCTCTGCTTCGAGGCTGCCAAAAACCGGATGAACTTCATAATGGTTAATGAAAAACTGACGGCCATACTTTTGGATACCCATACAAAATTCCTGCAGATATGGCGTCCCTGGCTGGATACAGCCCAACCATCGAGATTTGACCAGTCCCTTTTGTCGATATGAGGATCGATTCTGTTGCGGTCACCCTGGAGCCCTTTTGTGATTGTTTTTGTCTTTTTTTTTTTTGTCCTCGTCTTTTCAACGATTGTCCTTCTCTATTCTTCTGTCCAATCTGTTCTTATGCCAATTGTAATGATTGTGATCATTGCTCTGAGTGCTACATCTGCAATACTACCTATGCAACCTGGACTCCTTTGTGAGCCCAATGTCTGGAATATGTATTAACATTTGGAGAAGCTTCATTTCGTGCCTCTCCTGTTTTCTATACGCTGATATAGCAAACATTTCTCTTAGAGTTTGCATTGTCATTGATCTCCAAATGTTTGCTCATCGTTTCCACCCTACTCCTTTTTTTTTCACTTTCTCCCCTTCCCTGTCTTCTCTTCCATGGCACTTAAATATTCAGTTAATGCTTATGTCTCTACCAGTACATGCTCTGAAATATTTCTCAAATGCCCTGTATATCTCATTTTTGTTGGTCAATGTATATGTTTCTTGAATGTTTGTTTATCTCTGCTTATTCTATAATAAAACCTTTGTAAAAGAAAGTATTACAAAGAAAAGGAGTACATACAAACCTCATGCAGTTACTATCCTGGGGGGAGTCAACCCAGAACTTCAGCACTGTAGGATGCTAACAGCTAAGCTACCAAGCTGTCTTGATATCCTCTTTGGAAGATTTCTATAGAAGCTCAGTTGAGCTGGTTGGAAATTTTAGAACAACTCAATTTTGTCACTACAGAGATGTGTTTTTGTGTAATGGTATTTAAAGCATGTGCCCTTGTAGAATATTCATGCACATGTGTATATGACAGCCTGGAAAAAAATAATTGCTACCTAGTACATACCTAGTACTCCCATACAGAATATACTCCATAGCATTGCTATTTGCATGTGAAATAGATCATAGTCACTTAAACAAGCTAAAAATGTGTGTCAATATTTTAAAACCCTCATTTGTATGTAGTTTCTAACTATATATTTATAAGGGATAAGCAATATTTACTTACCACATAAACAGACTCTTCTTCCTGCTTTGTATTGCTACACAGTGGTTTTGCTTTCCCATTGCAAGTGCACCCTAAACTAACTTTTGTTTAGCTTCCTCCCACCTTCCTCTCTCACATTTGGAGATATATATATATATATATATATATATATTTTTTTTTTTATGACATCCCCCCCCCCTTCCAGATTATTCACATGCACAATGTCCAGCTTTCCCACGTCTGCACAGATGTGCTAAAATGCTCTGCCAGGACCTAAAGGCTTGGCAGAGTCATTCGACACATCTGCACATGTGCCGTAATAATGAAAATGACTGAAAAGGGGCAGAGTAAAAAATAAAGAGGACTAAAGTTCATCTTTAAGAAATATAGACTGTTCCCTTTACAAAGTGAACATTCACTGAGCTGTGCTCACTTCGATTTACCAATCTGCTAGAAAAAAAACTAAACAATAAACTTCATTTGTACATGATTGGAATTTCAAAGTGAACATTCATTTACTTTGTTATGTGAATGTATGCTTTTCAGATTGAACATTCACACTGCTAAATGAACAGCCTTTATACCTTTGGGAAATAGATATCAATGAAAACAATTAACTCTCTGTATGACTTATATGTTTTCCCAGCTGTTCGTAGGAAGGGAAGAAAATTGGCTTCTAGTGGCTATTCTACAAATATCTTTTTTTTTAATACAACAAAAATTACTGAGGATCAATCATATAAAAAAGTCATATAAAAATAACTTTACGGTAAATACATCAATAAGAAACAAAAATATGTGAAATGTTCTACACTTTCCCTTTAATATACTCTGTTTAATCTCATGCAGCTATGTTAGTCTAGATGAAGAACATTGTCTAAAATGTTATATTATTCATATTTCATTTGAAACCCATTTACAGGGCCTAGGGGTGTTTAATATGTAAGTATGTACTCTACACAATCATTTTCCCATAGGGCCCTTGGAATATGAAAATATTTATGGGATATTTGTTTTGTGTTTTAAAACTACTTCCAACCCTGCAAAGGTATAAGCATTTAATCCAATGCAAACGTGAATGGGTACAAAAAAATAGACAAAAACCTTATCCTTCTTTCTCTTCCGACGAAATCTGAGAAGTTCTTTGTGCTGCCTTGACACAAAGTTGACCGCTGCATATTCCAATAATGCAGAAAAGACAAACAGCAGACAAACAGCCATCCAGATATCAATAGCTTTAACATATGATACCTATGGAAATAAGGAAACAGTTAGTAGAAAGATGTTCTAGAAAGATATATGTATATTATATTGATATTGTCTTAAAAGGTAACTTCACTTTCATGAAAAAATATAGCACATAAAAAATAATATTGCATGTATAATTAATAACACAAGCCATGTTGTAATTTAACCACATGCTATCACATAGGGGGCCTGTTAGCCTTCTTGTGATAGCAATAAAGTTAAAAAAATAGAAAAGGTGCAAAAAAAAAAGGATTATATTAAATAAATAACAATAATTAAAAAAAATAAATAAAGCACCCGTAAAAAGACACGCCCCATTAAAAAAAACACAGAGTGGGGCAAATATGTGTATGTACCAACAATGCGCTACACATGTGAGGTATCATCATGAACAAGTGAGATCAATAATTCTAGGGATATCATTTATGGTTAACTCTAAACTGATGAGCTGTAAAGGCTTTTAAAGTGTTACAAATGGAGAATTTGGGGTATTATCGGTTTTTACAATTTCACAGGCACATGCAGTTTTTTGGCTTGATATGTTTGGTATGATTACTCAACATTGCCCCATTTTTAAATTTTATTTTAAAAAATGGGTATTGTACTGTGTTTGTTTGCACTAAAATTAATTTTAGTGTATTTTTTTACTGAAAAGATGCGTTTGATAAATAGCTGCTCAAATATCATACGACAAAAAATTGCAACTACCACCATTTTATTCTAATGAAATTCTAAAAAATAAAGTGCTTCATCTTTAAGCTCCCTTCTCACCCCTGTGGCGAAACAAACTCACAAGATGGTAATGACCTTTTTTCATGAGGCAGGTCTATTGCCCTTATCAACATGCCTTATATGCTTGAATACCGGCTGCCCAATGCTCGTCTCAAAAAGGGGAGGAAAAACCCAGAGAAGAGGAAGCCAACATAGCATAAAACCATAAAAATGTATTAAGACATAAGCAGAATAATAGTCACTCACAATAAAAAGGCACTTTCTGTCAACTCTTGCTCAGTTGTATTAAAGAGTGACATCAGCACCCTCTGTGTCTGTGGCTGCTCCTCCAAACAAAATGATGCTACAGTGCAAAGTCCTGCTGTGACAAAATGATACTTTTTCAATTAACATTTTCTTTTTTTCTAGGCTCTTTATATCTTTTATCATTTTCTCTGGTTGTTGTTTTTACTTTTTAAGTTCCAGGTCCCTTGTATCTGCATCAACTATTGTTTTAAAAACTCCCCAAAATTGGTTTTAACCCATTTGAGGGTAAAAACAGATCTATTTCCTAGGCCACTATGTGTATACCTACTTGGTATACAATTTGTGAGTCCAGGATTATTATTACAATACTTTTCCATACACACAAATTTTTGTTCGTTTTTATGTATCAAACCTTTTCCATTTCTATTCCAGGTCATGTTTTAACCATACTGTAGATGTAAAACTCTAGATTCCTCATTATTTAAGTTAATATCACTTCGATTAATAAAAAGAATAATGATTAATAATGCTCTTTTCATAAATTCTCTTTTCTTTATTTCTCCTACCCCTCTGCAGTCTTACTTATACCATCCTCTTTTCCAGTACCCCTTCTGATTGGGCTCTCTTGGTATGTCACCTAATGTCCAGTGAAGGTTGTCCAGTACTTCCTTTTTTTCCAATCTCTGTTCCTCTAATCTCTCCTGTAAGGGTTGTAGTGTGCAGGGTGCCCTGGTGGACCTCTTCTGAATCCCTGTATGAAAAAATTGTTGTTGTTGTTGCCCCCTACATTCCTTTCTAGGTTTCTAGAAAGGGCCCATTCTGATTATACTGCCTGTTCTGATTGTAAATGCCTGTTATCTTCCCAATTGTTATTATTATATGGGTCAATATCCCTTATATTCTTTATTTGTGCAAATCTATTTAATGTATGAACCCTAAACTTCACTCAGGTCCCACACTATTTTGGGGGTTATCCTACACAACCCTGAGAAGAGGAGTGTTATATTTATTTTCAATTAAATTCAATACAGAATTAACTACAACAGGTAATTTGTAGGTGGAATGTTGCTGTGCTGTAACTAGAAAGGTCAGGAAGATTGAGTTTCTCTACTGAATAAATTCAGGCAAAGTTTAAGATTTATGTAGCAGTCAATGACTGTGGAAAAACATATATACACATGCCATTTCCTGCAGATATTTGTTGTCAGTTCTACTACAAATGGTGATTAGATCTGTAGTGTAACTATATAAAAAAGTGTAAAAGTAATCATGGTGTAACAGCATTTGCACCCCATAAGGAATGGCATAAACTACAGTGGTTTCAGATCTATATGTACCCTCACTCACATCTTGGAAGCCAGAGGATGTTAAAAAGTCAATAATAGAATAAGCATATCATTTTGCATCAACTCAACTACTAAAACCTATTAATCTATTCAGTGTTGCTTTATGACATAAAGGGGTTTAGGGTAAGAATGACATTAGTAGACTTTAATCTCTTTCAGTTGAACACTGTACAATTTTCTAAAATGTTAAGAACTTGATGAGGATATAATTCAGATCTCAGATCTCTGTCTGCTATTCCACCATCAGACAAAAATGACAGCAGATAGAGAAAATAAACGTGCAAACTTGGCCTTAGTCTATGATGATCCAAAGGGGTGGAGTGAGGAGCACAAGAAGATGCCAGCCTCCTATTGAAAGAACAAGATTGATCGTTGCATGTTTTCTAACCTACCTTACTGACAATTGTCCTATACACTAGAGTTATTTGCCCAGTCTCACCTAATGTATTAGGAATGGGCAGCTATAAATCTTTTTTATATACAGTAGGTGCCTTTACTTTATTAACACCTTTTTTCTTTAAATGTGCTGGCTTGGTCCAGTAAGGTAAAGGAATCTAAATGGAGGCCCTAATGGTCACGTAAAGTACCATGGTATGAAGTATGATTTCCTCTACAGCCTTCTGTCTCATCTTGCATGCTAAGGCTGCTTGCAAAGAAAGCATTACATTCTCAGGCAAAGGTAAATTATAAGATCATATATACCGTAAATAGTATGCCATGCTCTCATTTCTGAAATCACTGAGTTCATGTGTGGACAAACAATGCAGACAGAAAACTGAGGGTTTGCAACTAATGTAAAAGTCTCTTTATTTAGCACAACAACAGAAATACAAAAGAAATATAATGTAAAATTGTAAAAATCACATACACTAAAAATAAGAAACTAAAACATGTGCTTAGTAAAAATAAAATATACTTTCTTTAATGTACAGATGCTGTCAGAAGGCATACAGAAAATAATTTCTTGAATGTTATTCGGTTTATTTTTCCATCTACCAAATTCAAGGGTCAGCTCTTGAACAGAAGACAGCACATGTAGTAATGTGCACAATAGTGGTCTCCAATGTGTACTCCAAATAGATGCCTTGGGGAACAACACATTCTACTGAAATCTTTGATTTATGACCAGCACTTGACCAAAGGAGACACTATTATAAATGTATTGACATTCAGGAGTGTATTTACTAAATCTGGAGAGTGCAAAAATCAGGTGCACTTCTGCATAGAAAACAATCAGCTTCCAGGTTTTATTGTCAAAATCTAATTGAACAAGCTGAGGTTAGAAGCTGATTGGCTACCATGCACAGCTGCACCAGATTCTGAGTGAACCAAATCTCCTCCTCAGTGTCAGTGTCCTTGCATACTTTTAGTTGTTATTAATCTTTTGAAACCAATGGTACCAATACCTCTAGGGACACAAAGGCAGATCTGTTGATCCTGCCAGATAAGTGTCTGTTTTAGTCAGCTGTCTAAGGCTGGCAACACATGTTAAAGTGGAACTTCACTCGCTAAGTCAACTTTAAAGCGATATTAACCACTTGCCATCCTGAGGGTTTACCCCCCCCCCCCCGATGACCAGGCCTTTTTTTGCTATTCGGCGCTGCCCTATTTCAACTGATAATTGTGCGGTCATGCAATGCTGTACCCAAATGAAGTTTACGTCCTTTTTCAAACAAATAGAGCTTTCTTTTGATGGTATTTGATCACCTGTGTGCTTTTTAATTTTTGCGCTATAAACAAAAAAGACCAAAAATTTTGAAAAAACCCCAATATTGTTTAATTTTGGCTATAAAAAATATATAGTAAATAAGTGAACATTGATTGCTTTGTGTGAAAGTTAAAGCATGTACAAACTATGGTATAGATACTGCAATTTACGCCATTTTTTGCTATACAGCGCTGCACTAGTTTAACTGACAATTGCACGGTCATGCAATGCTGTACATAAATTAAATTTATATCCTTTTTTTCAAACAAATAGAGATTTCTTTCTATGGTATTTGTTCACCTGTGTGATTTTTATTTTTTGAGCTATAAACAAAAAAAGACCAAACATTTTGAAAAAAAAAAGATATTTTTTACTTTCGGCTATAAAAAATATATAGTAAACTCAAAGTTAGTCATACATTTAGGCCAAAATGTATTCTACTACATGTCTTTGGTAAAAAATCCCAATTAGTGTATATTGATTGCTTTGTGTGAAAGTTATAACATCTACAAACTATGGTATAGATACTGCAATGTAAGCCATTTTTTGCTATACAGCGCTGCACTAGTTTAACTGACAATTGCGCGGTCATGCAAAGCTGTACCCAAACAAAATGTATGTCCTTTCTTTCACACAGATAGAGATTTATTTTGGTGGTATTTGATCATCTGTGCACTTTTTATTTTTTGCGCTATAAACAAAAAATGACCAACATTTTTTTTTAAAACTTGATTGTCTCATCTTTGTCATAAACAATATCAAAAAAACTAAATTTTGTCATAAATTTAGGCCAAAATTTATTCTGCTACATGTTTTTGCCTTAAAAAAATCCCAATAAGTGTATATTGATTACTTTATGTGAAAGTTATAGCATCTACAAACTATGGTACAAATCTTTTGCTTTCTGCTTTTGCTTTTCTGACTGCCTATCACATTTCTTGAGGTGCTAAAATACCAGGAAAGTACAAACA